AGCTTCATGGAAAGATGCATACAGGGGTACAGGATACTGTAGAATGACTACCAGACAGAGGCAGGGTTTTGGGGTATACACATCTAGTGTTGCTAGGGAGGTAATTTCTTTCTGGGGGGTTTATTGTTGCTGGAGGCATCTATTATTGCTGGAAGGGGTCTATTGTTGTTGGCTGTAGGGGATCATTAACAAATTGCATACAAATTGCAGACAAATTACTTAGCATCACGAAATTATACTTGGTTCTTTATTCCCTAAATGCGTCAGCACTGGGAGGTGGGAAAGTGAGAAACCAAGGGGTGGTGCTTGGAGATGGATAGGGTGCAGAGACAAGGGATGACTCAGCAGGGGGTGCCCTGCACTGTACTAATGACACTGGCTGTGAAGGGGTTAACATCTAGGGGAGATCAATGGGTTAACAAGTGCTAATGTGCACTGCTATTTACTAAAATCTCTTTGTTTCTTCTCCCTGTAAAGCAGGGAGAAGAAACAAAAGGATCCATCCCTCTGTATAGAGCCCTGTGTTGATTGTCAACACAGGGCTCTGGGCTGTGATTGGACACAGCCATTCAGCAGGTCCTGGCCATGAATCATTTGACAGGACTTGCTGACAGAATCCCGCTGTGTCTAATCACAGCGGACGTCAGCAGGCAGGGGCTGGTGTGCGCACCCTGTAATTGGAAGAGGCCAATGATGTACAGACACATCACTGTGCCTGTATGGTTCGCCCATCTGCAGTACATTACAGGCAGACGATCCTTAGGTGGTTAGAGAAGAATTGGGAGTCAACACATATTTAAATGTTGTATATATTGTAGAATATGAATGATCACAGGACAGTTCACATCAATGGATATATGTTACAGGCCTTACATGTCTTCAGGCAGAATAGGTGATGTTTATCAGCAAGGCTTTTCTTAATATGAAGGACTATGAGGAGGCTAGGGGAAAGGGGGGGAGGGACCTGTTTGCGGTCTACCTGTCACCTGCCCACACTCGACAGGTAGACCGCGATCGACGGGTTACCGACCCAATGTTCTAGACCTTTCTCCAAGGTTCTAGAGCGGGGGAAATTCCAGAGGGCTGGCCGGTAGAGCTTCTCAACTCTTGCTTAACCCTTGCTATCTATCATGCCTAGGCTGCCACTCAGCCCTCCTCACTAACAATTGGGTCTAGCTCCCCCTAGCTGACTAGGAGGGTGCTACACCATCTTCAGAGCTGCAGATGTACTGCAGCCTAATAGCTGCCTAGAGACTTCATCAAGGACCTCTGCTGGCAGGCAGTTTCTATGCTAATTACAGCCACTATTTTGGCTGATGTTCAGGTAACAGGATAGTCAAATAGGGTGTTTAAAAAAAAGCATACAAGAGAGCTAAATATAGGAGAGAGGATCTGTTAAAAAGAGAACAGAATACGAAACCTAATGATGGCAGTATTAGGATGATTACCACCTTTCTGTAATCAAGCAGATGAGATTAGGAAAATACTAAAGAGACATTGGGGAATCCCACCAACAATAAGTAGAAATCCATTGCCGGGTAAAGACCATTCATTACTTTTAAAATTTAACCACTTCAAGTCCGGACACTTATACCCCCTTCCTGTCCAGGCCAATATTCTGCTTTCAACACTGTCACACTTTGAATGACAATTGCGCGGTCATGCAACACTGTACCCATTTGAATTTGTTAGCATTTTTTTGAGACAGATAAAACTTTATTTTGGTGGTATTTATTCACCACTGGGATTTTTATTTTATTTTTTGCAATATAAATGAAAAAGTCCAAAAAAGGTTGAAAAAAAAAGTGTTTTTCATATAAAATTTTGCAAATAAATAATCTTTCTTCATAATTCCTGGCCAAAATGTATTCAGCTATCTTTTTAGTAAAAAAAATAGCTCAAATTAGGTTATAACCAAAAATTATAATTAAGAAAAAATGGTGAGAAATACTGTGTGAGCTGTGATTGGTCACAGCTTGTCACATGGTACAAGGCTGTTGTGAATAGCCCTGTACCATGTGATCACTGTGATCATTCACAGATTTCACATGTAGTAAGCAATGATGTCAGATGTGACATCTTGCTTACACCTATTCATGTGATCACTGATTGGCCAATCAGTGATCACATGATCAGGACCTCACACAGAGGTCCTGTACAGCGATCGGCGGGCACAGTGGGCACCGGATTGTGGAGCCGCACGCTCCCAGGGTGCGTGCACAGGCTAAAATGGCGGGCGCTGTTTAGGAGCGGCAGCCCGCCCCTGCACTTCTCTTGTCTGGCCGTTTATATACATGGGCTGGATGAGAAGGGGTTAAAGACCAAGCTTTTTTCTGGCATTTTTTGTTCACGTGAAACAATCTTTTTTTTTTCTTTTTGATACAAAGTTACTTAAAAAATTATATATTTTTTTTTTAAAGCAGATGCCCTAGAGCTGTTGCAAAACTACAAGTCCCATCATGCCTCTGCCTTTGGGAGACATGCCTGTAACTGTCAATCTTGCAATGCCTCATGGGTAGTTTGGCAACAGCTGGAGGGCCGCCAGTTTGACACCCATGCCCTAGAGGATTAATTGGTGGGGTTTGCCCAAAACGGTATTTACACAGTGGTTTTACAAACACAATGTTTTGGAAAAAAAAATACAAAAAATACAATACACAATCCATATTTTTTTGTAAAATATAAAAGATGATGCTACGCCGAGTAAATAGATTGACATTATAGACACACATTTCACGCTTTAACCTCCCTGGCGGTATTCCCGAGTGTAGCTCGGGGTAAAATGTCAGTGCCAAAAGCGGTAACCCCCCCCCGAGCTACACTCGGGCTTACCATGCGGCGCTGCATAGGAAGTCCCTGCAGAGCTTACCTTGTCCTTCTCTCCCGCGATGTGTCCCCTGCAGTGTCCCCGGCAGGGGCGGACTGACCATTTAGAAACTCGGGCACTGCCCGAGGGCCTGGGGTCAGTAGGGGGCCCCATGAGATTGCCCCTGGTACCTTTTTCATAGGCTTTGTTGAGTTTGGGCAAGGACACAGGGGCCCCAGGATCCCCTATTGCCCGGGGGCCCATGAGTTGTCAGTCCGCCCCTGGTCACCGGCCATCTCCTCCGGCCGATGCCCGCATCCGGCTTCTGTGTTCCTGGTCCCTGTGACGTCAGGACGTACGGGTGCGGGTGGGTGGCGGCGGAAATTTGAAAATTTAAAAAAAAGTCATTTTTTTCAAAACAAATTTTTCATAGTATAACTTCCTGTATCAACCCATTTCACATACATTTTGTCCCGAGTGCTTTGTCCGGCGCCCTGCCTGCATTTTACTGTTCTTTCTGCCTGGAAACTGAGAAACGTCCATGGCGTCCAAAAAGCGTCCCTTTAGGTCAAACACGGTTTTAGACCGGCTAGAGAACAGCGATAGTAAATCAGAACCACTTGCAGAATTGAGTGATAATGATTCGTGGGGGAAATTCCTCATCAGACACTGAAAACGATTCTGCGACTTTGCTCAGCGATGTGCGAACTTGGCGCTCTATTTCAAATTTCAGTGTTTTTGGTTTGATTATATTATTGAATAAAATGTATTATTATTATATTATTATTTTTTATGATTATTTATTAAATTATAATTTATGATTTCGTGTTTTAAATTGTATCATCCCCGGGATGTTTACTAGACTCTTATTTGGACAGATTTCAGTGAGTTATTCCTAAAAATTACAATAAAAAAACTACATATTTCCATGCAAAATAATGGTACCGCTTTCAGCACCAAAAATCTGGAATAATCAGACCGCTAGGGAGGTTAAAATTGGACGTGCGCCCATCCAACAAACAACATAAATTTACTATCCATAGGTGACGCTTTAAAAGCCCTTACAGGTTACCACGTTAGATTTATAGAGGAGGTCTGGTGCTAGAAATACTGCCCATGATCTGACGTTCGCGGTGATTCCTCACATGTGGGGGATGATAGCTGTCTGCATGGAGGGGACTGCACTTTTTTTTTTTATCACTTTTATTGCTGTTACAAAGAAGGTGAACACCCCTTGTGACCGCAATAAGCATGTGACAGGTACTCTTTATGGAGATCTGGGGTCAATAAGACCCCAAATCCTTCCTCTACCCTTAAAAGCATTCAATCAAGATATAAATTATTATAATGAACACGATGAAATAAATTAAATGAATTATGTATTATAATCAAAGCTGGTAGAATGTCCTATAAAACAGAGCTAATGAAATATACCAGACAGTTTTTTTTTTTTATGTATGTTCTAAATGATGTTGATTATGAAATCCCTGATTGGATGAAATGTATATAAATGGGAACAAGAAATGTGAGAAGACCAAGACCCCTTGAAAAGGTCGGTAATGTCGGTGAAATGTTGGCGTTGTCTCTCAGCCATGGCCGTTTACCCAAGAATGGCGCTTGTGTGAATACTGCAAAATATACACTCACCAGCCACTTTATTAGGTACACCTTTCTAGTATCGGGTCGGACCCCCTTTTTGCCTTCAGAACTGCCTTAAAGTGTTACTAAACCCACAACAGTACAATCAGTCTGTAGATGCAGTAAAGCATGCTTGTTATACTCACTGTGGGACCCAAGGGGTTAATCCTCTGTCTGCATTGTGTAAAAACACTGTTTGATCCTGACTTCTCTGATCCTCCCCTTCTTCCAGTGTCCCCCTCTTATCTCCTGATAAGACATATCATGAGGAGCCACTCTGCTCATGCTCAGTTTGGTGTGTATTGTCTAGAGAGGTTTTTTTTTTTTTCTTGGGAGAGTGCATGTGATCAGCACAGGACCAAACAGCGTTGTTCAGACAGAGGTCAGGAGTTCTGCATCCTCCTAGAGCAGAATGAAAACTCCTCCTACAAGCTTTAACCAGTGCTCTACAGGACACTGACAGAAGTCACAAGACTGCTATATACTGCTGATGAGAAAAGGGATTTAGCTGTTTATATTTACTAAAATAATTGCATTTCCATGTTGTGTGTACTGTGGAAGACCAGATATATTGGATGCGGGGTCCCGGGGAGACCGGATATAGTGAATGCAGGGTCCGGGGAGAGCGGATATAGTGAATGCAGGGTCCGGGGGAGAGACCAGATATACTGAATGCAGGGTCCAGGGAGACCAGATATAGTGAATGCAGGGTCCGGGGAGACCAGATATACTGAATGCAGGGTCCGGGGAGACCAGATATAGTGAATGCAGGGTCCGGGGAGAGCAGATATAGTGAATGCAGGGTCCGGGGAGAGTGGATATAGTGATGCAGGATCCGGGGGAGACCGGATATAGAGAATGCAGGTCCGGGGGGACCAGATATAGTGAAAGCAGGGTCCGGGGGAGACCGGGATATAGTGAATGCAGGGTCCGGGGAGACCAGATATAGTGAATGCAGGGTCCGGGGAGACCGGATATAGTGAATGCAGGGTCCGGGGAGACCGGATATAGTGAATGCAGGGTCCGGGGAGACCAGATATAGTGAATGCAGAGTCTAGGGAGACCAGATATAGTGAATGCGGGGTCCAGGGAGACCAGATATAGTGAATGCAGGGTCCAGAGAGACCAGATATAGTGAATGCATGGTCCGGGGAGACCAGATATAGTGAATGCAGGGTCTGGGGAGAGTGGATATAGTGAATGCAGGGTCCGGGGAGAGTGGATATAGTGGCTGCAGGATCCGGGGAGACCAGATATAGAGAATGCAGGGTCCGGGGGAGCAGATATAGTGAATGCAGGGTCCGGGGAGAGGCAGATATAGTGAATGCAGGGTCCGGGGAGACCAGATATAGTGAATGCAGGGTCCGGGGAGAGCGGATATATAGTGAATGCAGGGTCTAGGGAGACCAGATATAGAGAATGCAGGGTCAGGGAGAGCAGATATAGTGAATGCAGGGTCCGGGGAGACCAGATATAGTGAATGCATGGTCCGGGGAGACCAGATATAGTGAATGCAGAGTCTAAGGAGACCAGATATAGTGAATGCAGGGTCCGGGGAGACCGGATATAGTGAATGCAGGGTCCAGGGAGGCCAGATATAGTGAATGCAGGGTCCGGGGAGACCAGATAGTGAATGCAGGGTCCGGAAGAGAGCGGATATAGTGAATGCAGGGTCCAGGGAGAGCGGATATAGTGAATGCAGGGTCCGGGGACCAGATATAGTGAATGCAGGGTCCGGGGAGACCAGATATAGTGAATGCAGGGTCCGGGGAGACCAGATATAGGGAATGCAGGGTCCGGGGAGACCAATAGATATAGTGAAGTGAATCAGGGTCCAGGGTTTAGTAACACTTTAATTCTTCGTGGCATAGATTCAACAAGAGAATTTGGTCCGTATTGACATGATAGCATCACGCAGTTGCTGCCGATTTGTTAGCTGCTCATACATGATGCAAATCTCCTATTCCACCACATCCCAAAGGTGCTCTGTTGGATGGAGATCTGGTGACACGGTGCATTATTCTGGTGGAAGTTGCCATAGGAAGATGGGTACATTGTAGCCATAAAAGGATGGACATGGTCAAACAACAACTCAGGTCGGCCGTGGCCTTCAAACTATGCTCATTTCATACTAAGGGGCTCAAAGCGTACCAGGAAAATCTCCCCCACAGCATTACACCACCACCACTAGCCTGGACCATTGATACAAGGCAGGATGGATCCATGCTTTCATGTTGTTTACACCAAATTCTGAATGTCACAGCTGAAATCGAGACTCATCAGACCAGGCAACATCTTTCCAATCTTCTATTGTTCAATTTTGGAGAACCTGTGTAAATTGTAGCCTCCATTTCCTGTTCTTAGCTGACAGTAGTGGCACCCGGTGTGGTCTTCTGCTGCTGTAGCCCATCTGCTTCAAAGTCCGACGTGTTGTGCATTCAGAGATGGTATTCTGCATACCTTGGTTGTAACAAGTGGTTATTTGATTTATTGTTGCCTTCCTATCATCTCGAACCAGTCTGCCCATTCTCCTCTGACCTCTGACTTCAAGAAGGAATTTTCTTCCACCCAACTGCCGCTCACTGGATATTTTCTCTTTTTCGGACCATTCTCTGTAAACCCTAGGGATGGTTGTGCGTGAAAATCCCTGTACCTGTATATCAGCAGTTTTTGAAATACTCACACCAGCCCGCCTGGCACTAACAACCAAACCGATCAAAGTCACTTAAATCCCCTTTCTTCCCCATTCTGATGCTCAAGTTTGAACTTCAGCAAGTCATGTTCACCACATCTAGCTGCCTACATGCATTGAGTTGCTGCCATGTGATTGGCTGATTGGCAATTTGTGTTACCAAGCAACTGAACAGGTGTACCTGATAAAGAGGCCAGAGAGCGTACCTCGGATATCTGGCACTCACTGCAAGCTATTGTGGCTTGAACACTTCTGACATGGAACCAATCTTGTGAGCACCATCAATGATGTGAAAAGAGGGAGCTGACCTAACCCGCCTGATGGGCAGGCTCTGCCTATAGCACCAATGGCCCCCAGACTAGTGATGAGCTCAATGTGTCTGGGTTCAATTGGCCGTAAACCCTTTCACATGCCCAGTGAAGTTACTGGCCTCAGGTGATACACAGAGATGAAACAAATCCTCCCACATAAGTTGTACCTGTTTATTCGCAGCCATCTATCCTCTACAGCTATTCAAAGTCCAGAATTTATACAGCTGGTCTGAGCTTTCAGAAAGCAAGGGGCAGGGAGTTGAAGTTGGACATGCAGAGCTCAGTGAGACCTGAGTAAAGGGAAGGGACCCAAACCCCTTCACACTGTGCACAGGAACAGAGCTGAGGCTGTCAACCACAGATTGCTTGCTAGAGGTCCCTCCCCGTCACCTTTTTACCTCTTGGTGTCAGGAAAACGTGTCAGAAATGACTCATGCAGATTGTAGAGGAATAAAGACAGCAAACAGAAATGATCCATAGTGCACTGGATTGAGGCAAGTACACACTAAAGAGGGATATGCTTTGTTCATATTTATGTCAGCGGTTTACAACCACTTTAGGGGTATACTGAGGGACAGTGGTGGACTGACCATTTGGAAACTCGGGTCAGTAGGGGGCCCCATGAGATGCCCCTGGTACCTTTTTCATAGGCTTTTTTGAGTTTGAGCAAGGACACAGGGGCCCAATGATCCCCTATTGCCTGGGGGCCCCATGAGTTGTCAGTCCGCCCCTGCTGAGGGATGTCAGTCAACGGTAAACTTTAATCCGACCCCCTTTGAATTATTTGTGAGAGTGAATTCTGCAAGTCCATTTTGGCCATTTTCAAGGCTAATGAGCAAGGGATTGTCCAGCAAAGCGCATGGTGAGCTGGGCTCTGATCCGAGGACATGTACCTATGAAAAGACATGTTTAAAACTTTAAAAAAATACAACACAAATTAACAATTTGTTCAAATAACATGCTTAGGGGATTGCCTAAAGCGGACTGTGAAGTGGCAATCCTCTATGTACTAAAGCAAACATAACATTTACAAAGAGAAAAAAATGCCATTCAATTTGCCGGTAAATGACATTTCCTGGCTGCTTTGTTCTGCTTATAAAGTAGGTGGCCGGGGATTCCCCAACATCTATACTAGAACCTTACCCAGGATAAGGGGGTCCCAGTCAGGGGCAGACTGACAACTCATGGGGCCCCCGGGCAATAGGGGATCATGGGGCCCCTTGTGTCCTTGCCCAAACTCAAAAAAGCCTATGAAAAAGGTACCAGGGGCATCTCATGGGGCCCCCTACTGACCCCGGGCCCTCGGGCAGTTCCGAGTTTGTAAATGGTCAGTCCACCCCTGGTCCCAGTAGTTTGGCAGTGATTTGTGTATTGTAATATGGAGACCACTGCCATCCTGATAGCAATGACCCTCCCCCATTCCTCCAAAGGCACTCCTGGATGTAAGGGGGGACTCTGATGGGCACACCTGGACCTAAAAGGAAACTGTAATAGACCCATCCAGGACAGGGGCTTTTGGTGGGGGCTAGGGGCTAGCCTTCTACCCACTGATTATGGCCCATGGAGGAGACCGGGGATATTGGCTGCTTCTCCTGGTCATGGAAAAGAGTTCAGTTCAGCCTCTGATCACATGGAGAGAGCAGATCATTCCCTAATGATGGACAACAACGTGATGAAGGCCGAGAGCGAGGCTTGGATTCGTTCTTTGAATAAAGACAATACAGCTTCCCTTCTGGAGTGGATGGAAAGGTGTAATATTAACCTTGCATAGGTTAGTAGTCAGAGGACTACTCCACTTGAGACAGAAATACTTATCAGCAATCTCCCTCAAGAAATCTATGAAGATGAATTAATTCCACTTTTTCTTTTGATGACTTTTCTAGTGTACAGATTATAAAAGGCAAACACCTGAAATGCGTAAAGTACTTTGCATTTCCAGGGGTGTGGGCTTATTGCCAGACTGTCTGGGGTGGGCTCCTGGCTGGTCTGGGTGCCTGGCTGTTGATTAGCTTACTGTTAATTAGATCACTGTTAGCTGTTTATTAGATGTACTGATGATATTACTGTTTACAGTTTGCATTGTTTAGGATTATGTGATCAAGCTTTTACCTGATTTTGTGTGGTACAAATTCTGTGTGAACTGACAGTGACGTGAGTTCCAGTTGCACCTAAGCTAGTGTCATCTAGTCCTTGGGTGCAGTGCCCAGCTATAATAACTTGGTTCTGTGTCCCAGTGGCAAGGAAGCAGTTCTCTGACGGAAGCACCCAGGTGGGGTGTCAGGTAGTCCATCACAGAAACTCTGATAGGCACTCCTGGATGTAAGGGGGACTCTGACGGGCACTCCTGTATATAAGGGGGACTCTGATGGCACTCCAGGATATAAAGGGGGAATCTCATGCACACGACTAGATGAAAGGGGAAACTCTGATGGGCACTCCTGGATGTAAGGGGGACTCTGATGGGCCCTCCTGGATGTAAAGAGGTACTCTGATGGGCACTCCTGAATGTAAAGGAGAGTTCTGATGGGCACTCCTGGATGTAAGGGGGGACCGTGATGGGCACACCTGGACCTAAGGGGAAACTCTGATGGGCACTCTTGGATGTAAGGGAGACTCTGATGGGCACTCCAGGATGTAAACGGGGGCTCTGACGGACACTCCTGAATGCAAGGGGGGACTCTGATGGGCACACCAGGACATAAGAGGAAACTCTGATGGGCACTCTTGATGTATGGGGGAACTCCAGTGGGTACTCCTGAATCTAAGGGGAAACTCTGATGGACAATTCTGGATGTAAGGGACTTTCATGGGCACTTCTGGATGCAAGGGGGACTCTGATGGGGACTCCTGTATGTAAATGCAGACTCTGATGGTCACTCCTGAATGTAAGGGGGGACTCTGATGGGCACACCAGGACATAAGAGGAAACTCTGATGGGCACTCTTTGATGTAAGGGGGAACTCCAGTGGGTACTCCTGGATCTAAGGGGAAGCTCTGATGGGCAATTCTGGATGTAAGGGACTTTCATGGGCGTTTCTGGATGCACGG